CTCTGTCTGACTCAGCAAATAGGAAGTCATGAGAACATAGGGTTCCTCCCTGAGAGACAGGCCTTACCCAGGCCCACTTGTAAAGATGGCCTGGGATCCTTTTAAGAATTGCCTGCCAAGAGAAAACATTTCCAAGAGAATGGGGACCTAAAGGCCACCCTGTCCTCTGAGCAGCTGTAACAGAATGGGATGTCCTCTTCTCTGCCTCTTCAGGCAGGGGTGCGTGTGACCTCCAACAATCACCTTCAGAGTTGGCTCTGTGGGAGGTACCTGGCTCAACAGACAAGAACTCCCAGAATGCCAGACACAGATTCCATGTGACCTCAGAGAAGACAAATGGACCTTCCTCTGTACTGTGGCAGAGACGGAGACTCGGGGTTCTGAAGTGGTGACTAAATCGGTCCCAGACTCAGCTCCCATCCTACCTCTGACAGCCCGTACCTCCTCATTCCAAACCCCAACTCCTGCTTCCTGGCTCTGCCTCTGCTACCTTTTTAGAGAGACTGCCCAGGTCCCCAATCCATGCCCCGAGGCCATGCTTATATCATGTAGCTGGCAGGGTCTACACTTTGCATACCTTAGCTCACAGGTATGATCGGCTCCAAGCACAAGGGATTTTTAAAAGGTGCCTCCCAACGTGAGAGGAACGCAAGGGTACAAAGGCTGGCAATGGCCAGTAAGTCCAGGAAGAACCTGTCTTCCTGACACCTCTGACGTCATGTTCTCCATGAAAGGACAGAGGATAGAAGAGCACAGATGCAACAGAAAGTGAAAGATGTCCGCGGGGAAAGCAGCCTCCTGGAAGGCACACAGTTTAACTAACATGGCCTTGTCCTGAGTGTACTGACTGCCACCTAGAGCCCCCAGACAGCAGCACTGTGCTGGTTCCAGGACCTGGCCGTGCTTGAGGAAGGTCCTGAAGACAGCACTGAGGACAAGGGGGGCTTTGGTTTGTTGGGCAAGTGCCGCTCTCCACACATTCAAAGCAGAGCTTCCAAAGTCATGGACGAGGGCAGGACTGATAATGACTGTCCCCCAAGAGCCAAGCAAATAAGTAAGGAGCGGGCTGCCACTTAGCCACTTGAAGCTTAGTTTTCATTTTCCTTCTAAAAATGGAGCTTTACATAGTTCATGTTTGGTATATCAGTGCGTTCAAGAGTGAGTCTCTGGCAGCAGCATTAGCCATTAAATGGAATCTGGACCATTAGTAACTGTTCTGCTCTTTTGGAGAGCCTCAAGGAGCTTAAATCTTCTAGCTAGTACATTTCAAGTCACCAGGCATCGCATTTGATGTAACTGAGGAAAAACACTCCCAGACACGAGCAGATTGGTCCCTGCAAATTATTAGAGAATAAAACGTAAAATCTAAACATATCCCAAGTTCAGGGTCAAAATTTCACATTTAGATTTTTATCCACAGAAGTTCTTAATTCACTAGGAAACTGCAAGCTAACTAAGGTTCTGGGTCCCCTTTTTGAGCTGCCCATGCTCATGCCCGGGGAAAAGGTGATTCCACACAAGGGCGACCCTACTGGTCCATCCATCAAGTTCCCATTTTTCTCTGGCCCACACACAGTTTTCCCAGTAAGTGTTTTCTCCGTGGCTGGGGGTCCCCTGAGCTAAGGCTCACCACACTGGCTCAAGCACTGTCCTTCTTGGGAGAAACCAAGCATTTTGATCATCTCACTGACCTTGAAGCTGGAGGAGTCTGTCCTATCCAGATCCTGCTGCACGCACACAGCCAAGAAGTGTAACAGGAGCTCCTGGGGCTCAGCCTAGAAAAGGCCACTGTGCTGGGTGGGGCTGGAGAGTCCTCCACCAATCCGGCTTCAGACCTCCAGCTACGCTGGCTCCATCAGCGGTGTCCTTGAAGGCCAGCTCCTGACTCTTTTGCCACTGGGCCAGGCGTCCTTTCTAGAACCTGCCATTTCTGTCAAATGTCTGCCTTTCCCTTGAACAGGCAGACCTTGGACTTGGCCCGCCAGCCGCGTCTGCAGACACTTCTTGCTCTGAGAGGGAGCTTGGATGTGCAGCTCACCCGGAGGGCAGTCCGAGCTTGGGGTACAAGGGCCGACAGAAGAAACTACCTGTTAGGAGGGGAGAGGGGGTTAGCCCTGGAGGAAAAAGTCTGGGAGGAAGTCTCAGGTGGCCTCCTTCCAGATGTTAGAGAGAGAATCAGGAGCAATCGGGAAAAGCCTATACAACTTGTTGTCTGGGACGTGGGTTCGGGGACAATGATCCTTACCATCATATTCAAGATCGGGATCTCTAAAGTAGAGACTAGATTTTTCTCACTTTCTATCCACACCAGTTTACATGACCACCAGACCTTATCCTTGCTAAAAATAGCCTCCCAGGACATCCGCCACTGAAAGGTGCCTATGAATAGCAACAAACCATCCGGGTTTTGGACAGCTACCCTGTCATTTCAAAGGAGCTTGCCTGGGCTTCTCCTGGCCATCACGTACACATGCAGCCACATCAGCATCACCTGCTTACTCCTTTCTCACTCTGAGGGCAGAGCCAGGTTCAGAGAGAGCTGCTGGACAGGAAATGCTGGTTCCCTATGTGGGTCAGCGTCCTTCTTGGCCAAAGTTTCCTTAAACTTGACCCACAGCATAAGTACTTTTGTTTAGCCTTTGCATGAGATGATGCATGACATGCGGATCGGGAGAGCACAGGACCAGGGTCTCCTGGGGACTGGGAAGAGCCTTGATGTGAGTGTGAACTCACACATCCAGGCTCCTCTGATGTGTGCTGAGGGGTTAAGCATTTTATTGTGTGTGCCTTAGAGCCTGGTGAACTTGTATACTCGCTGTCGCTAAGACATGGCTTACACAGAATCACAGCTTTTACAAACTGATTCCCTTTCAACACGTGATGTACTCAGATCTATTTTCTAGACCTTTCTGTTGTTTCATTAAAGTAATCCGATTGGTGTCAACCACAGAACTTGATGATCCTTCGGAATCTTAGTCCCAACTGGAATACTCTGTCATCTTGGGTCACAGTTCCTGGGCCCCAGTGACCTTCTCTGGTACCACGGGCATCAAGCTGTGGGGCATGGGGCCGAAGGGTGAAGCTCTGTGCTGGGATGGAGCAGAGGCGAAGTGGAGGCTTCTTCTCAAAACAGCTCTGTGCACACATATTTGTTTCAAAGTCAGTTCCAGTGAACTGACACAGTCTTGTTCCCAGATCCAGAAAACTGCGAGGCTTTGGGGAGGATGACAATGTAGATTTTTAAAGAATGTCAGTCATACACATGCACACACACACACACACACACACACACACACACACACACACACAAATTCCTTTCATTTCCCCTTCATTTTTGGATAATCAAATCAACATTTAGGGCTCCCTCTACCTCCCTTCACCCTCACAGCTTATATTTTACGGATTAAGTTTATATGACTTGAATTGGGTCAGAAGTTGGGGGACTTGAGAAAATAATGTTTATTCCTTTTTTTTTTTGCTTGTTTGTTTTTGTTTTTTGTTTTTTGTTGTTTTAAGACAGGGTTTCTCTGTGTAGCTTTTGGAGCCTATCCTAGAACTCACTCTGTAGACCAGGCTGGCCTCGAACTCAGAGATCCACCTGCCTCTGCCTCCTGAGTGCTAGGGTTAAAAGTGTATGCCACCACTGCCCAGTATGCGCCTATTCCTTTCTAACCTTGTGATTAAGAGGCTGTGACAGGGACATGAAATCTCCACAAGTGACTCCCAGCAGTAGGACGAGTGTCTGAAAGTCCATCTCACAGGATTCCCGTCATACCCCTTTTTTTTTTTTTGGTTTTTCGAGACAGGGTTTCTCTGTGTAGCTTTGCGCCTCTCCTGGAACTCACTTGGTAGCCCAGGCTGGCCTCGAACTCACAGAGATCCGCCTGCCTCTGCCTCCCGAGTGCTGGGATTAAAGGCGTGCGCCACCACCGCCCGGCCCGTCATACCCCTTTTATCCCTTCCTCATCAATGCCAACTCCCAAGCTCACATCAGTGTGGCTGTGTGGCTGGCTTTTGCCACAGGGAAAAGAACGTAAGGGAGCGTGTGGCGGCTGTTGTCACTTGCTTTAAAGTGACACAGAAATATGTTGTGGGCTTTCTTCCTTAGCTATCCCTAAATCTACCTGGCATGTCATAGAGCAGGTCCCAGATGGGGCCACGCAGGGAGGAACCGCCTTATGAGGTGGCCAAGCAGGAAGGTGTGTGTGCCCTATGTCTGTGTGTCCCTCCAGCCTGGGTGGTTCCCATCACAACTGGAGAAGGAAGCTAAGGGGCTTCTCTTTGCAGTTTGCCCTTGTGCTCTGGATCCTGACTCAACTTTAGATGTCGGGACAATGTCTTCTAAGTCTTTTCATATATATCAGCTCACGTAAGCACTATAGTCATTCTGGGAATGGACACCAGCCTTCATTTTTAAGAAGATACAACCTGAGAGGGCTCAGAAGCTCCTGAAGTTCAGAGCTAGCAGTGACTGGGTGAGGATCCACTCCTGCGTGACATGAGCTGCTTGGACAGGGCGGGTTCTCCATGCCTGGAAGTAGCCAGACATGGGCTGCGGGTGTCACTGGAACAGACTTAAGAACTAGAAACGAAGTGGGTTTGATGATGATCCTTGACATCTTTTTGGAGGACCTTACCCTCCAGTTCTCTGCTTAGTAATGTGGTCTGCAAATTAACTTCTTCTAAGTAAGTTGGGCGGTGGTTGGCACACGCCTTTAATCCCAGCATTCGGGAGGCAGAGCCAGGCGGATCTCTGTGAGTTCGAGGCCAGCCTGGTCTACAGGGCGAGTTCCAGGACAGGTACCAAAACAACACAGAGAAACCCTGTCTTGAAAACAAACGAACAAAAATCCCAAAAAGCCACAACAACAACAAATTCTCCTAAGTGTTCTTTGTATGTGAACTGTAGAAGTAAAAGAACATATAAAGGGGCCAATTGAGGTGAAGGACAGTGTCAAAACAGGAAAGGAGATAAATGAAGAAATCATGAGACTTTCGAGTACTGAAGAAAGGCGAAGTTTAATTTGCATGTCGGCATAACCTACGCCTCACTTGGCAAGTGCCAGGCCACAGCACAAATCCCTCATTAGAGTTACAAATGACAGCAGATGTACAAAGTAACCAGACACAGTGTGTTTCTCTGACTAACACATGTGTTTGTACACACAAACACGCACATACATACAAATAATAAGTACATTTAATTCCTCTGTAAAATAGAGCTGAGACTGCTAATCAGTTGCCTCACAATTGTACAGCACTTTAAAGTTTACATTCTGACCCCTTTGGTCCTCAGGACAGCCCAGTGAGGTAGACAGCACAGGAATTATGATTAATCCCATTGTATAGATGAGGAAACTGAGACGCAGAGGTGTAAACACTGGCCTAAGTTTCTTCGGCTGGACGATGCAGAGCTAGGCTGAGTCTCAGGTCTGGTCCAGTGTGCCTTCAGAACCAGCTTTTTGGTGAAGACTGAAATGGGTTGTGGAAAGACAGTGGTTCGACCTTGTGAAGGAAGGGGGTTATTTGAGCAGGTCCGATCCAGAACGGTCAATCCTAATCTTAACATCATGGCCCGAGGCGGCTGAGATGGAAACGGCTAGGTCACTCCTGTGTCTGTCCCTATAACAAAAGGTCCCTGTCTACTGCTCTGACCCAGTGTAAGCTAACAGCGGCCTCTGCAAGGATGCTGGCTACAGACCACCGACCACAGCCTTATTCCAGGAATCACGTAGTGATGTCTTTAAACAGGTCACTAAACTTACAATCCTATTTCTCACAGAAATGAAAAGGAGTTCCGTTCATTAATTTCCTCCAGCTGTGGACATCAGCCTGGCTAAAAATAGGATATTATCTTTTATGCCATCTCAACAGTAGTAAAAATGATAAATTGTGCAAGTTGAGATTTAAAAGAAACATATTTAAAACAAGAGATCTTTTCATGGGGGAATAACATTAACTATTGAAAAGAAAAGCTAAGTAAAATCCCTTTTTAAAATGTGAAAGCTGAGCATTTTAGGAGTGACCCCTTTATTGCATTCCTCTTCAGGCCAGATGCAGTCACTGGTGGCCTACAGTCTTGTCTCTCCTAACATGAGAGAAGAGGGGAAGGCCCATGGTCACATCACATGGTTTACAGTGGCTTTTCTCTCTCATGAGTTTCATTTGTTTACATGTGGGACTTTGAGATGCACCAATAAACACACAGTAAAGAAGGCTGTTAGAGCCACTCTGAAAGATTACCACAGCACTTTAAAATCCCTCTTTAAACTCCTCGGGGGAACTGCAGAAGAAAAGCAACAGCATTATACTTCATGCTGAACCTGTCACATGTGCTGGCTTCGGTAAGAGATTTGTTTCTGTAGAAAGAGTGGATGTCTTCGTTAGGCATCCCCCGAAGCCCTCAAGGTAATTCCACCCGCAGGACAAAATGTTGTGCTCATTTGAAAGCATGAAATCGGTTTGATTTCCTGTTAACTTTGCAGTACACATGTTCACTACTTGACCTTTTGAAGGTGGCCTCCCATGTGCTCTTAGGAACATCTCATAGAGTTGGCAGACACAGACAGAGTGCATGTGTTGTACCCCACAAATACATATAAAGCTTCAAAGGACCGGGGCTTCAACAATCAGAAGAGGAATCACAGATTGCTCTGGTGAATCTTAAACAGGACCAAGCTGAGGCGTTTTGTTTTTAAATGTGCATCCCTGCCTTGGCTGACCGATGAACGATCAGAGTCTCTTTAAAGCTCTAACAAGCCAGACAATCTGAGCAAAGCAATGGCAGTTCCCACAAATGACCAGCGGGGGCGCTTCCAACTGTCTACTGAAAACAGGCTCAAAAGCGTCATCACTTGCTGAGGAAAAGCTGCATTTCAACAGCAGAGGGGCATTAGAAATTCCTCTTATTTTAATAAGAATGACTGCACTGGCCTCTGCAATATAACATTGGAGAAGCAGGAGCCCAAACTCCCAAGGAAAGTGCACACAGAGCCATCCTCTAAAGGGCAGGGATGGAGTGCTGTGGGGAAGGGGGTGGGGCTGAAGGCGGAGTGGGTACTCCTTCCCCAGTAGTGAGTGGCATGAAACTAGTATGCTGTGGCCCTCTCAGGAATGCTAACCTTTTCTTTTCCTCTGTAAGATCGTGTGGTGTTTGGTGTTAGTGACAAATTATTTGAACGTTCAGCTTCTGAACACCGAGAAGTAAGTCACAAGGTGTGCACAGTTAGGATCCGACAGCTCATGCTTTCGTCATGCGTCATAATGCATCAGCCTCTTATTTGAAACTGAAGAGAACAAACAAGTAACTCAGAAAATAAATAAATAAAGAGGGAAAAGCATCCCTAAGTGGCCCTTGCGGGGCTTAGTGCTACACTGTTGCCTAAAATGGACCAGTGGAAAGATTTTTGGAGGGAGGTTCATATAATATAAGTATTTTCTTTTTACTTAGCTTGTATTTCTCTATGCAGTTATGTACAGGGATAACCCTTACTGTGCAGAAAATGTACCTTCTCTAGTTCTATGGTACATAACCAATGCTAGCTCTTCCGTTGGGCCCCTGGAACTGGTGAGTGGAATGCATTAGCTAGCTATTAGCTCTATCACATAATTAGAATGCAAAGGAAGAAGGGCAATGGCCAGGCAGATCAATCTTCGTGGTCAGCGTCAATAAGCATCATGCCCCTAAGAGAAAATGCCAGGCATGCCAGGCCCAAGATATAATAATCCATCACTGTCATCTCTTCCTCCCTTTAAAGCAGCGGTCTCCCTGAGAATAGGAGAGGGAGGTAATCAAGGAGAGCCCTATTCCTTGAACAACTGACCATTGTGTGGAGCACGAGGTCACGTCCCCAGCCTTGGGGTGCAGGGCAAACCCCTGCGTTTGGTTTTCTGCTCTAAGAGCTGTGGAGTGATCAGCCATTTCCCATGCACTTGGAATAGTCTTACTCAGAATGGATCTTCAAAACCCTTTTTAAACAAAGATGGCTGGGAGAGAGGAGAAGGACTGTCTACCAATAGCAGACGGAAGCGTGGGCTTTCAAAAGAAGAACCCCACAAAACGTTTGTTTTTAAAGTACAGCCAATGTTCATATGAACCCCAAGTAAGTTGGTATACATCAGAAAAGGTTTCTAGAGTCATATACGGAAAAGAAAACAAATGCAATCAGGTACAGAGGTGATTTTTAGGCCTCCATTTTTGCTTAGGGTAAGTCCTTACTCTCCATAGCACTTGGTGGCCTTCTTATCACATTCCACAGTTTTGTCGGTTAACTGACATGGACATGTACTTTACTGCAGCCTTCACAGGTGGCTCTCTAAAGGGGCCGCTTCTTGGGACCAATCTCTCAGTGAAGTCCCCACTCAAGCCTGTGGGATGCTGCTTACTTGGAATTAAGGAAACGCTACCAACAAATCCACTTGTTTTTTTTTTTAATCTTTTAATTCCTGTTCCATTGCCTAAAGGCTGCAAGGCTATTTTCAGAGCACGCCACTCCTCCCATGCATGGAGAATGCACAGAGAACCATGCACATGCTGCATACTGAAACTGCTTATGTGTCGGGCCTAGAAAGGAAGCGTCATCCTGGCTGTGACGCTTGGCATAAAGGAAATGTAATAGAAGCAATTAAGTCGTTGAAGACTGGTGGAGGCGTGCCCAGGCTAGTAGAATGCCATAAAACATTATAGGTCTTCTCTGTGGGACCTTGTTCCCAAGTTCTAGCAGAACATGGGACAGGGGACGTTTACCTTCCTTCCACTTCATTATAATGGTTACCAGCATCTCCTACATTATTATCCCTTATGCAAATTGTACCATCAGCTTCCCTAAGCTTCGAGTTTTACACCTTCCCACCCAGGGCTGGAGCATCTGTCCTTGACCCATGCAGCTGGGTTTCACTCTGGCTGGAGACAGAATTGCAGTCTGGTTCCATCTTTAGTGGTGAACGGAGGCAGGCATTGTCCCTCTGGGTTCCCACCGTGCCCTGTGTGACACACTTTACACGAAATTCCCATGTTCTCAGGGACAAGGCCAGATCTTCAAGCAGGGAGTCGAGGTTCAATTTTGAGCGACAGCTCATAGAGTGTATCTTCATCTATGATGAGGGCTTTGTCAAGCAGGTATTGTATGACCTGGAGAGAGAGAGAGGGAGGAAGAGAGACAGACAGAGAGAGGGAGGGAGGGAGCGAGGGAGGGAGGGAGGGAGGGAGAGAGAGACATCAGTTGATGCTTCTCTCAGAAGATCAACTGTACGTTTTCTGAGTGAATCTGACACAACTAAACATCTTTCCTGAGACATTTGGAATTTTCGTAAAACAGAAACAAATGAAGATATTATTGTTGTAAAAGCAGTCCTCTCCCAACCTCTGGTTCCAGTCTGCACTCTGTTGTCATTTGGTGTACGTGATCACAGATGAGTTACTATGTGTTTATATGCATTACACATACTCATAGTATTACATTTAACCTTATAGTGATAAACAGAACCATATCCTCCATTGAGGTTTACTTTCCTCTTTGCAACACAGGCACATGGAGCTCTCACTGCTTACAGCCTTGAGCGTGCAGCCTATCAGTGGCTTTAATAATTGCCATACATGTAGAATTGCAGTCAGTATTTTACAACCCATGGTGAGGGTGGAATCCTTGCTGGCTTGTTTCCTGGTGTTTACGTGTGCACGCTCTGAAGGACAGATACCAGGAATAAGGAAAGGAAATGGCACTAGAAATGAAGGTGTAAGGGCGTGAGGTATTTCTGGGAAATATTTCCTTCTTATTGAAGTATAATGTTGATGACTCATGTGAGTATAGTTCTGACAAATACATACACTCACTGTTCTAGGCTCATTTCTGTTGCTATCATAAACACTATGACCAAAAGCAACTTTGGGAGGAAAGGGTTTATTTCATCTTACACTTTATAGTCCGTCATTGAAAGGAGCCAAGGTAGGAACTCAAGGAAGAAACTGAAGCAACCTACTTTTTCTTTTAAAAGAAAGAAAAGTCTGTCCAGTTGTAGAATGTATTTTGTGATCTTGAGGTTGGAATGGGATCAAAGTACTGGAAACAGAAGGTACAGGGTCAGAAGATCCCAGGAAACATGCTCAACAATGAATAAAATTTGATGAATTAACTTTTCAAGCTTCCCTTTTCTCAGTTAAACTTGCTGATCATTTCTAGTTCAGGTCCTTACCATAAGTCAGCCTTTGGTATTATCGCTCAGCTGTGTGGTCTTATAGAACACTAACTTCTACATCCGTCATTGTAAGTTCTCACTAGCACACAGTGTTACCTTTGGCTGCTGGTCTATGCGGTAAGCCGTCTGCTGGAACTGACGTATCTCTCGAATAATGTGTGATATCTAACAGGAAAAAACAAGAGCAATTCAGAAACATCCTTCTGCATCACAGTGCATCTTCCCAGGGTGACATCCCTGAGTCCTGTCCTCCATGGGGTAGGAGGAACCTTGCCTGATCACTTCTTATACCTTCAAGAAGCCAAGGGTAAAGCCAACAAGAAGGCCCTGAACTCATAATCACTGGGTCAGCTGACTCTGGGTGGCCTCAGGGTGGCCACAGGCTGGCAATAGGAAGAAGCTCTGGGTGCTGCTTCTTGTGGGTTTCTAGCCGCTAACTTGGTGTTCAGAATATGGCTGTCTAGCAAGGAGACTCATGCATCTGCCTACTGGTCAGTTTTAGAAAATCATCTTTGGAGTTATATTCCCCACAGCCTGGACCCAGACTTTAAGAAGTCACTACCAAAAATCTCTTCAACTGGACGACAGCAGGTGTCTTCACCCTCTTTTCCACCTCAAGATTTAGAAGCCGACACCACCCTCTTCTCACTAGGCTGCCAAGTCACCAACACAGGTTAATCACAAAATGGCCACCTACCATTCGCATTTTGGAGAAATTGACAAGGCCTTCTTCTGTAAAGTTCGGGGTTCCTTCTTCAATGAAGGCCAGGTCTGTCAAGTACATCCCGAGGTAAGGGACAGCAGGGGGATTACAGCTGCAAGGCCAGGAAGAGTGGTTCTTATTCCTGCACACACACAGTTAGAACTTGCACCACAGGAAATGCATTTTTCATTTAGCTAGTTTGGAAATGCATTAGAAGACATGGATTTAACAGCCATTTACAGCTAACACTAAAGCCATGTGTAAAGAGACTGTTTTGAGATATTTGTACACTGTGTGAAGACATATTGCTGTGATTTGTGAAATAGAGAGCTGAATGGCCAATAGCTAGGCAGGAGAAGACAGGCAGGATTTCCAGGGAGAGGGAGGAAGAGGAGGAGGAATCTAGGTGCTCGTATTTTAACAGAAGACTTGGAGCAAGTGGGATGGGCCATACTGAGGAGAGGTAACTGAGCCACATGGCAGTTTGTAGTTAAAATTATGGGTTAATTGAGTTATAAGAGCTAGTTGGGGACAAACCTAAGCTAAAGGCCAAGCTTTCATAATTAATATTAAGTCTCCGTGCCATTATTTGTGGGCTGGTGGTCCTGATGGGAAATCACAACCATAACAGGTACTTGTTCAGGCAAACTGGGTCTACTTGGTCTTCCTGGTGAGGCCTGCAGCTAAGGATATGGCTTCTGGTGCAGAGGGAACAGAGTTTGAATCCCAGCTTGACCAGTTGCTCAGGAATACTGAGCAGGGTGCTCTCTGGTCTACACTTTCCTCACCAGTAATGAGGACGGAAAAGCTAATCTCTGAAGTTTATTGTGAGGCTTAAGAAAGACATGTAAAGCACCCAACATGCAGTGTATAAATATTTAGCAAGTACTTGCTATACTATTACTGTTTTTACTGGTGTAATAGCAACATATAGATGATTATCACTCATTTTTTACCAGTGTGACATAAGACAAATTTTCTCCTAGGGTGAGCCAAGTTCATGTGTTAAATCACAAGAAAACCAGTTGCAAGAAAATAGAACTCTTATTCTCTGCCTCCCTGCCCTGTGCGTGCGTGTGTGTGTGTGTGTGTGTGTGTGTGTGTGTGTGTGTGTGTGTGTGTGTATAGAAAGAACAATGTAGGTATAAAAGGCCAAAAGTAAATACAGTAACAACAGTAATCAACTGCTTCTGGAATATTTACCCAAAAAGTCACAATCAATCACTATGTTTAGATTAAGAAATACTAAATTAATAAAATTATACTAAGAGATATTTGACTTATGTTGATATTTTACTAGGTGGAATATACTACATACATCTCTAATATACTTACTATATGTACAGTGCCCATAAAATGCTCACTATATGCACAGTATCTGTACACACCATTATCTATCCATAAGATGCTCACTATATGCACAGTATCCATACACACCATGGTCTATCCACAAGATGCTCACTATATGCACAGCATCAGTATACACCATGGTCTATCCATAAGATGCTCACTATATGCACAGCATCAGTATACATCATGGTCTATCCATAAGATGCTCACTATATGCACAGTATCTGTACACACCATGGTCTATCCATAAGATGCTCACTATATGCACAGAATTCCAAGTGAAAAGTGAAAATCTACAATAGTAGCTCCTTCCTATTTCTTCTTCATCAGCAATGAAGGGGGTAGATTACTATTCGCATGCCATGCAAATTATTTGATCATATTCTTGAAGTGTGAATCATTTAATGATTAAAATAGACATACTTTTTAAGAGTTTCTCTGAGGTTTTTAAATCTTCCTTCAGATGAAACAGTCTTCTGAAGTTTGTCCATCAGAGCTTTTGTCTAAAAAGAAAAAAGACAACTTAGTTTGTCAAGAAAACACTGTAATTTGATGAGAGTGAGCAGTGGTAAGGAACTAAGTTCTTTTCTTCAGTGGCAGGTGCTGATGTCATTTAATGTTTAAAAGAAGAAGGGAAGAGACATGCAAAAGAAGTGCCTATATCCAGGCTTTTGCCACAGGCTGAGGAAAAATGGAAAGAAAAGAAAAACTGCGAGGCAAAGAAGACTTAGGACTTCCGCATGTGTTGAATGAGCATCTGAAAGGGGGCAGGGGGTCTCCTAAAAGGGATTTCAGACCAACCTCATTCTTCTATTGAAGTGCTGGGAAGCTGACCCAGGACCTAGTAGATGCTGGACAAGCACTCCACCTCTGAGCTCCATGCCCAGCTCATGGTGAATCTTTTTCAGTATGTCCAAACCATCAACACATATCTACACAGTATCCTCCACTCCAAATCCTTGCTTTAGTGATCATGCTCATCAATTTGCTAGAGAAGTTTAATTTTAGACTTTACAAAGACCTACTATAGATGTTGACATTGGTCTAGAGTTTCTTCCATAGTCATGGAAGAACAGCAGTGTGACCCTGGGGGATGGGATGAGGACTCATTCCTGGTGGGCTACACACACAGGCATCTTGGTGGGTCCTGATGCTCCAGGGCCAACTGTGAGAAGCACTTGGCAAAGCCTAGGTTGGAGATCACATGACCCTGACTTGGGCTAGAGAGGAGCTATATAGTTTCCTATCAGTTTCCACAACAATCCAAGATGCCGACATCCCCATCCATATTTCTGAGGTCTCAGAAGGGCCTTTTTCTTTACCCAGGACTGGCCACAGTCCAAAGAAACTTCATAAGTACAATCTCCCTGACAGTCACAGATCTAGAGTTCCACAGGCCTTTTGGGCATCTTCCAGACTGATCTCAGACCTGCTATAGGGAAGACAGTATTGCCAAATTTGGCACCTCAGTGACCAGGCCCTGACTGTGACTGGAGTGAGGTACTTGCTATAGATACCATCACTCTAGTGAACAATCAGATAACCCACTCTGTGGCCACTGCCAGTGACTCATACATTGACTGAAACAGTATAGTCTATCTGACGTCATTACAGCTTGTACCACAAAACTTGAGACAGAAATTTTAACATGAGCTGAGAATCTCTCTTCCATAGTTATCATGCTGTATCTATGCTCTCAAAGTCAAGAATACCACTGAAGTCAGTTACAGACAAGGCCTGGAACTTCCTTAAAGCTTGCAGGAGGCCTTGGCACAGTGCACCAGTTTTAACCAATGAAACAAAACAATCGCTCACTTATTTTACTGACTTTGATAGAGAAGGGGTCTGTATAAGGGGAAAGGAGTCTTTATATCATTTTTATGGCTGTCTGTGAATCTATGGTTGACTTAAATGGAGTTTTTATTCTTATTTACAAAATAACACCATTTTTAAAAAAATGTATGGTTTTTACTAGTCATTCCAGGCTTTGTTGGTCACAGGCTTCTAAGGATCCTAGTTCAGGTCCTCAGAACTGCCCTTTTACAAAGGAATAAAGTGGGAGGGGAGCTGTGAGGGCCTACTTCCTGGCTACAGAGAGAACTCAAGGCAACTCCTGCTCTAGAGAGAAGGGCTCAGAGAGATAAGTGAAGGCAGAAGAAATGATGAGCTCATCTTAGGGCGCTTAAGCTCTGGGGGGGTGGGCAATAGTACCAACACCTTGAAGAATTGGCAGCAGGATACATGTATGCTCTTTTGGTCTTGCCCTGAGAGACAAGCCGTGTGGGATAGCCCTCTCCAATTCCAGTGGGTACATCAAGGTGCATAGCGAAGTGCACTGAATGGTTAGGCTGAGCATGCGTGGCACAGCTCTCCTCCCAACAGGCATTAAAACAGTATGGAGGAGCCTGGGAGATTCCTCCAAGACCCTTTGTGAGGACCAAGGTAGTAATCCAATAATGAAGAGTTCACATGCCCTGCGGGGCCACCAAGGGCAGAACAGCCTGTGGTAGAGGGTGACACACACCCTAGGCTCAGAACATTAGCAGAGCCAACGGCTGGACAAGACAAGGCTAGCCCAACTCCCTTGGAACAATCATCGACTGTTGCTCCTGGGCAGGTTGGATAAACCACCTGCACACCACAAACATCCTGCACCTGATAACCAACCAGCGAAGGACTAGAACCAGAGCCAGAGCCAGCCTTTTAGAGGTCTAGAGAAAGTCTCCCAGACAGGCTTTTAAAAGGCCCCTCCCAAACTCACCAATACCCAAGGAGAAGGCTAGAAGGGCAGTGAGCAGTATGATTTGATTTGACTATTAAAATTATCTGAGTGGAAATAAGAGAGGAAATCTAAACCTAATGGAAGAAAATCAATGGTCACACATCTGCATGTCTAAGTCACCAGTTCAAAACTCGAAAGCAGCTCCCAGAAGGACCGAGGAAACGTTGTACATTGAGGCCTCTGGGGACAAAGGCTTTGGAGGAGAAGGGGGATGGGGAAGAATCCGCTGGGCGGTTGTGGGCTCACTTGCCCTCCAGAAAGAATTCAGGAAACAAGTCATGACTGACAGCTACATTGTTTGAGATTGTGCCCCCCTAAACATTCTAATGAGTGTTTTGGAGACACACAGGAGGGAAATTAATTAAGTGGTAAGAGCAGGGTAATTATCCATTGGCACCTTCCTTTGGCAACTGTACTGCTCATTTCAGCTAATGATTTCCTAATTAGCAGGATTCATCTGGGCCCTCTCTCTCCACACCTCCCCCGCTCTCAGTAGCAAGGTGTGTCGCACACCGATGCTCACCTGCTTGGACACCTTGGCCCAGGTTTTCTTCAGCCTGTAGATGGCACTTCTGTTTAAGGCCGCGGTGATCTCCAGCACACCATTGTAGTTGTGTAGACACCGGCAAATGTCCGCTACTGCAACCCACTTCTCAATGGCGTTGGCACGGGAGCTGATATCAGCGTAATTCATTATCTGGGAGGCCACCAGGTTACTCATCTAAGACAGCCAAAGAGACCGGCAAGCTAAGAGCCAAAACAATGCATTCCGGCAAATAGCTGAGTGGCCCATGAGCACCTAAGGAGAACCGGCTATTAAGTAGCACAAAGCCCTCGGTCCATCTTTAGACACCAGCTTCCAAAGAGACTAGAATTTGGAATGATAACAGCAGCGACAAAACCACCCACACCTGCTCGTCCTGAGAGTGGAGACAGGGACTCTCTGGAACCCAGCTTGCTGGAGGAAAAATGGATCTTTTTACATCAGTAGCTTTGATGAAGGAATCCTTGCCAAGAAATGGAATGACCTAACAACCAAGCAAAGGACATATTCCAGACCAGGGTATCACTCCTTGGAGACCTTGGGGACACATATTTCTTTACCCCCAACTATGTATAGGTAACATACTCTGGGAAACCTCAGTTTTCACAGAGAAAGAAAAACCGTGGGTTCCTATTAATCTGAATTCTTATATTTTTGGTTGTGAGCCTGGCCTTTTAATGGCTGAGCCATCTCTCCAGCCAGCCATTAATCTGAACTCTAAACTGGTCATCTCTCAAACCAGAAAATCACTTAGCATAGAAAAAGAGAAGCACACTTTCTTCTTGTAAAATTTCACTGGCAAAACAAACAAACTTTAAAGCTAAGGACTGTAATTCTACTAACCGAAAGCCAGCCGAAGCAGCTCAGCTTTCAAAATATGAAAGGAGAGGACGGAATACAATCAGCAGCAGCGGGGTGCAGGGATGTGATTTTGTATCCACACATTAAATCTGATGGGCACCCCCACTCTTGTAAGACACATAAGCTCTCACAGTACCTTTTCGTGTCACATAGAAACTCACTAAAACACATACTAGGGCTAATCATTCCCTTAGCTTTAGTGTAGAGAATGACATAGACTCCAGTTTGGTGGGAGGAGGTGATTCGGTTAATCAATAATTTTGATAAGGACATTATTTCCAATAATTATTGATGAAGTGGGCTAGGACACATTTGTCTTAGGTGCTATGAACAGAAGGAGAAAGAAATCCATGTCACTGACGGGTACAGTTTGGATGTTGGATGTTCCCCACAGACTATGAGTCAATGGCCTGGTCCCTAGAGTATTAGAAGGTACTGTGTTGGTCCTTAGCTCAAAGAGGTGTGCGTTGAAGGGGACTGTGGCAACTATGCCCTTTCCTCTTCCACTCTTTTGGTTCTTGTCTGTGAGCTGAGCAGTTTTCTCTGCCCGTAAACCTTTTCTCTACATAAGTTAATTGTCTTAGGTATATCATTATAGTAACATAAAACTAACTAATATGCTGGCCTTAAGGTGTTCTGAACCTGGCTATGAGGGATGAGGAGCAGAGGGAAGTATGTAAACAAGTAAACAGCATAAGCTAAACAGTAACAGTAAATAGTAAACAGCTAAGCTATGTCTGTTCTGAAGCTGGGGAGACGATTCAGTGGAGAAGCTCATGCCTATGAGGTCCCAAGTTTGCGTCCTCAGCACTCAGTGGGGCCTAACAGGATGCACCTGTAACTCCAGTGCTGGAGGAAGGAGATGGGCAGATTCGGGAGCTCACCGGCCAGCCAGTGTAGCCATCTCACTGCCTTGACCCCATGCTGCATAAAGTGTCAGTCTGATTATGGCACTCCCTGACAAAAATCGGTCTGTGGTCCCCCTTCGTCTTTAGGGTCCAGCCCAGCTGTTCAGCTGTTCAACCCAGCATGTAGCGGCCCTGGAGATCTCTCATCCTTGTCTCCGGAGGTCCCTGTCTCCTCATCAGGATAGCAGGTCCTCTGTTCCACCACGACTTCCAACTTCACACCTGTGCTCTTCTGCTGAGACAGGCAGGAAGTAGTGAGTAGGGGACAGGAAGGAAGCACAGGGGACTAGTAGATTCCATGCCTGGCTGAAGACAGGGTGATGTCACTACCTGCCTTAGAAGGTACAGAAGCAGGCTCAGCCTTGCTACTGGGTTGTTTAAAGCACAAGCTAGCCTAGTGTGGGAGATGTGTGGGTCTGGAGCCTGGGGTTGACTCTTCAGTTGGAGCGCCCTGTGGGTAGCCCAGGTGATGGAGCACATTCCTTACGTCATACCTTCACGTAGCATCTGTGTATTCTGAGTGGACCCTGTGCAGAGCTCTGTCTTGGGACTCCGTACTGCTGTTTTGGTACCCTGGCTTTAGACGACCTGCTAACTTGCCAATGCAGTCCCTTTGCTCATATAAATATCATCACTGTTCCTTGTATTATATAGCACTGAAACTGGAAAGGAAACTTCCCTTTGCCTGGCTAGCCCCGAAGCCACCTCCATGGCTGTTATTTATTCTCTCACAAGACTAAGTCTGTTACAACAGCACCAATGAAGAACTGGGTATAAAATCGACTCCTCCTCTTACTGCTGGAGACTGACAGTGGTAACCACGGCATCAATGAGTTTGTGCTGTAAGAAGTTGCTTCCAAGGTCAGCCTGTAACTTAGGAAGTCACACTGCTGCAATCTTAATTGTCACCACCAGGGGTCAGTACACACGCGACTCTTGAAGTTAGTCTGTGTATGAGCTTGGAGTGATTAGGATAAAAATAATATTTTACACATAATTGAGTACTCACAGGACCCGGGAACCATCAAAATGGGACTTCTTATGTCTGGAAATGATCACATCCCTTTAAGAATGTGAGGAGACCTAAGTGTGCCCTTACTATTCAATCAGCTCTGTTTACACAGTGGTGGCAGAGTTTATTTATTTCTGTTTCTGGGGATCAAATCCAGGGTTTTGTGCACGCTTAGACAAGAGCTCCAAGTCCTCCTCCACTGACTTACATCCACAGACTCAAAGTTGATTTATTCGAGAGAAGCCTAAAACCACAGCACTCGCCCTCCTGAACCACACCCACGGCTGTGCCTCAGTTACTCACTTCATTGAAGTGCTGGCTGGTTTTCATGATGTAAGGTGTCCTTTCGTTTTTATCCAGCTTCATCCAGCCCTGCCCGAGAAACTCTCTGAAAGTTGAGAATAAAACATGAAACCAGTGAAGTTTGTAAGCAGTGGTGGCGAGATCCTGCATAGTTATACAGATTAGATGGGTACATTTAACTTAACATTCATGGAATATTATCCTCCCCATCACCCATTTTCATTGATCATCTCTAAGGAACTGCAGCTCAAACCTAGCATTACACCATTTACTGCCAAAATGAAAATGATTTTTCAGTCTCTAGTGTTGGGAATTTTGTCTCAATAAAGGCTTCTCTGAAATTAGAAAACGCTGCCAACATAAGAGAAACGAAGTAACTAATAACGCAGCAGTCCAGGCGGTGATTTCCTCTGGGTTAATCTCTAAATGCAACATTCCAGATGATCTATTCTGACCAAAACCTGCTCATTCGAACTGGATTCTTCCTTCCACCCTGCTTTATTTTCTCTGGAGAATGGAAGTTTCCAAGGTCAGGAGCTGAGCCTGGTAGGAGGGTGGTCTTCTGAGGTCCTCCCTGGCGGGAGGATGATCTTCTGAGGTCCTCCCTGGTGGGAGGGTGATCTTCTGAGGTCCTCCCTGGTGACAGGATGGTCTTCTGAGGTCCTCCCTGGTGACAGGATGGTCTTCTAAGGTCCTCCCTGGTGGGAGGATGGTCTTCTGAGGTCCTCCCCAGTGGGAGGATGGTCTTCTGAGGCCCTCTCTGTGCAGTCATTTCATTCATGAGCAGGTCACTAGACCTCAATAGTCATGGGGCAGTTGAGATAGAGTGCATGGGAATTATTTTGTGTGGACATTTAGAAAGCAACATGAAATAAAACCAATCTAACACATTCTTAAAGCAGAAATGTTGGCTGGGTCCTCTGCATGGTTTATTGTCCCTCACTGCTGCTGGTACTGCTCTTGGCCCCTATTCCACAGCTAGACGTAGAAGTGTGGACGCCGTTCCACAGCAAGAGCCACCACCAAGTTCTCTCGTGGTACATTCTCCTCTTGTAGAGAAGGCAAGGGACCACCTTCAAAATTCTGGGTGGTAGTGAAAGGGTAAGGGGGTGGTGGTGGAAGGGATATTGTTTTTCCTAACCTAAGACTCCAGAATGTCACTGGGTTCATTTGAATGGCCAATGAGTCAGATTCCTATTTCAACTCTGTTCCATGTGCATGGGTAGGTCTACAAATTCAGGGAAGCCAGGAAGAGAAGACGAAATGCATAGAAGAACAGTCTACTTGAGTGTTCTTGGGCTCATCCCCTTATGCTTCTCTGACATCACTACAGGTTTAGAGCTGTCTCACCCATCTGCTCTGACCTTACTCCTCCATCACCAGGGATTCCTATGTATGACAAGGATCCCATTCCCGGGTCTTGCCCAGCCCCTCCATTACCTTCGGTGTGGTTACCAGTTCATGGATAATGTGTGCTAATAGTGGCCATTTGTCTAAACAAAGATCTGCTTAAGGATCTTTCAAGTCGGTGTGATTGCAGGAGGCTTAAAGAGCCTCCCGTGCATACAGGAGAAAATGCAGAGGCAGGACAGGCAGGCCCACGGCCACTGAGCTCAGCAGAACAGAACGTGCTAACTCACAGAAGGGGGTCAACACCTGTAGCAGACATTATAGCATTAACTGTGGGTCACTTCTCAGAATGAAACTTTGGGTCCCTCCAAACTACGGGGTTCTCATGAAAAGACAATCTTCTGGACCTCAACCAAACCTACTAACATTGGAATTTCATAGGAGTATTATCTCTGAGAGTACATCTTCTACAAGCTTCCCATAAAGCTTTAGACAGACTCAGGGTTAAGAACCACCTTTGTAGCTGTGGTGAGGATTCTGTATTTCAAAGATGGGAAAACACAGAGAAATTCACATTCTTGGTAACCTTATTACATACAGAAGAAACATAAACCAAGACCATCTCAAGGATCTCCAAGTCAATGTGCCCAACATGAACTGGGACCAAGAAACATTCATGCATGCTAAATAAAGACCTTGAGATGGAGACTCAACATCCCTGAGCATGGGTGAGTGCATATGCACACCTGTCTGCCTTAGAGATAATGGCAGCTTCTAGGCCAGCTACTTCCTGCGAGGGGACAGCGCACTCACTCGTAGGGGATGCTTCTGAAGACAACGTGGTCCAGGAGAGTGATCTGCTCAGCCAGCTCCATGGCTGACAACGTCTCAAAGCACTCGGCCTTTGGGCAGTCTGTCTACAAGAGATGATGAAGGAATGAAACAGGGCACCTGTGGAGCATAAAGTCCTTCACTAGCATCTAGCTCTGAAAGAAAACGCAGCAAACTCAAAACTATGAAAGCCCGTGTTACCATCACCAACCAGCTGCGGGATCCTGTACTGAGTGAGGCCCTTCTCATCCAGCTCCACAGGCAGACACGTGGTCAACCACGGAGTCGGTCACATGAGTTTGCTCACCTCAAGGAGTCTGTGGCTGAGCTTACCATTTGAATGATATCCTCTAGTTTCAGGTGAATGTCATCTTGATCATCTTGTGAAAGAGCCCTGTAAGGAAATGTGTAAAACGTTCTCCATGAATAAGAGAAAACGGCCATGCCAGGAAGCTCCAACGCGAGGTTCTTTTTTCCTTGGTTGGGAAGTGTGAGAGTTCAGGTGTGTGAGGCTGTGAGGTCCAACAGCCTGCTGTGCCACACACACGCACAACAGAAAATCACACGTGACGTGACGTGCAGGAGTGATGGTTTAGAAGGAAGCGGCTAGCTCATTACATGCGATCCAAGGGTGTGACTAAGACAGCCACTGTCACAGTGAACTTGAGAGTTGCTAGGGTGCTGCTCCCAGGAGATCCATTAAGGGCAGGGCTCTGGATTTCTCCAGTAAAGTCTCATCTATAGACCTGGCACCCATTCATGCTCCTCTAGGCCCTCCCACTCGTGCCCCTCTAGCCCCTCCCACTCATGCTCCTCTAGCCCCTCCCCTTTATGCTCCTCTAGCCCCTCCCACTCATGCTCCTTTAGCTCCCCCCCAAATTGTCCACTGAAGCAGAAGAGACACAATGAACCCTCTTCTCAGCTTGTGGTCAAAACTTGGAAGAACATAGAGCAGGAGCAAGTAGATAATCATCTTGCTTTTTGAGTGTGCATCCCAAACCCAGTGTTATCCACCTTTCAAAGGGTTATCTTTCAGTCTTTAGATGAATGAATGATACAAAGAGTTAATTAATACTATGGTGATATTTTATTTGTGCTGATTTATTTGTGATTTTATTTGTATGTTAATAAAGTTGCCTGGGGATCAGAGCTAAGAGCAAGCCATTAAGCAGAAGTCTGGTAGTGGTAGCACACGCCCTTAATCCGATCACATGGCAGGCAGAATCTCTGTGTTCAAGGACACAGCCAGCATGGTGACACACGCCTTTAATCTCAGTACCAACCATAGAGACCTGGAGATCTGTATAGACAGGAAGTGATGAGGAAGTCTTGTGGTTGGGTTTACAGCCAATGAGAAGGCAGAATAGAAAGGCAATAAAAAGACAGGACACAGGAAGGTCTCTCTCTCTCAGGGGAAGGACAGCCACGAAAAGATAAGGTGGTCTTAGCTCTTGGCTACTGCTCGATCTCTGGGCTTTTAACTCTTTATTTGGCTCTGTGTTTCTTATTTAGTAAGACCATTTAGAATTACATCTACATAATACCCAATATATCATTTTCAAAATAGGAAGATGTTGTATATATCCTACAGAAATTCCAAGTCTAGGAGAATTACAGCGAGTGGGAATTCCATTTTACATCTTGCTATCTGGGCCAAGCATTCTAAGTCTTAGCACACACACACACTGAGCATTGAAATATTTAAGAAGTTCCAAGCCCTATGGCTTGTCTCAGGGGAGAGCTAAGGTTGACTCCCTTTGTTTTTTGTTGGGCAGGGGAATTAAATCCACAGAAATCGTTAATGACTCTGTCAGGGAAGCAGGTAGGCTAACTGCAGACCCCCTCCTCTCTTCAAATCCAATCCCCAAGTCTTAGTCCCAGCTCTATAGCAGACCACCTGATGTAGGTTACTCTTCCCTCTGCCCCCATGCCCAGTGGATCTCACAGATCTTCCCCTATAACCTTCTGCTCACTCATCCTGTTACCCCAACCCCCAAATCCAGCAGGTATGCCCTGGGAACCCACCTGCCAAGCCTGCCGGAGAAGCAGGTAGACAGCAAAGCAGGTAGGCTTCAGATCTTCACTCTCCCTCCTCTCCTCCATATCCATTCCCCCAGTCCAGCCCAGCTCTGTAGCAGATGACTTATTGCAATCTTTCCTCACTCTTTGCCCTCATTCCCAGGGACTAAGCAGATCCTGGTGGAACACCCTGTTTCCTTCCATCTTGTGGAACCCCCCAGGCCTCTCACCTAGCCCATCCCTTTCCTAAGTATCAGCTCCCAATACCTAGAATCAAATCTTACCCCAGTGGCCACACCTATCAGAATCCCCAAAGGATTTCCTATCAGGCAACACACAGCCACCACATTCTCCTAAGAACCAGAGAGGAAACAGAAGACAAGGAACAAAACACCCAACCAACAAAAACAAGGCCAGATATCAGCACTTAGAATTGCAATCTTCCCATACCCAGATGCCTAGATTCCAGTGTAAAAACACAGTCAATAATAGCCAGTCCAATATGTCTTCACTGGAGTCCAACAAACCCACCACAGTAAGCCATGAGTGCTGAAACACAGCAGAAGCACAAGACAAGGACCTTAGAACAGCCTTTATGAGTATGATAGAGGTCCTTAAAGAGGAAATTAATAAATCCCTTCAAGAAATCTATGAAGACCAGTACCTAGCCCAACTGTCATCGAGGAGCGTCATCCAGCAACCAATGGGAGCAGACGCAGAGACCCGCAGCCAACCATTAAGTAGAGCCAGGGGAACCCCTGCAGAAGAGGAGGAGGAAGGATTCTAAGAGCCGGGGCGGGGGGGGGGGGATTGAGAAACCATGAGAACATAGGCCACAGAATCAACCAAGCAGGGCTCATAGGGGCTCCCAGAGACTAAAGTGGCAAACACAGACCCTGTGTGGATCTGAGCTATAATCATAGGCCTTGTTCAGCCATCACTGGAGAAGCTTCCTCCCGATGCATGCACACAGGAACAAATATAGAGACCCACCGCCAGACATTATGAAGAGGGTGAGAGACCTTGAAACACTCAGTCCTAAATTGGATGTCTCCATCATTCCCCCCCTCCCTCAGAGATCAGGGAACCCTAAACCAGAGGAGGCAGAAGAGTGTAAGAGCTGGAAGGAATGGAGGACACCAGGAAAACAAGGCCTGCTAAGTCGACAGGATCGGCACACAGATGAACTCGCAGAGACTGAGACAGCATGCACAGGGCCCGCATGCGTCTGCACCAGCTGAGGTCCTAGAGCTTAAAGAAGAAGTAGACACGTGCTCCATCCCTAACTCAGACGTTATCTCCAATGGATAACCACTTGCAAACGAAAATTTGATTTCCTCCAAGGAAGTCTCACTGGGGAAACAAACTAGTCTTAAGGGTAGGCTGCATCCCAGCAGGAGATGGCCGACAGAAAATGAACTCAAGGGGATCTTGGGGACTCCTTGTCTCATAATGTTGCATCAGAGCTTTCCCATTTTTTAATTTTTATTTGTGTATTTTTCTTCTCTTTTTTTTTACACTACAGGTCCTTTGTGTGTATATTATGTCTTCCAGTTTAGTGTTTTCATGGGATTCCTGAGTGTATGAATGAGTGAGTCTCTGATTCTTGTGCCTTCTCTTGGGCTCTTTTCCTTCCGATGTATTTGTTTTCATTTTGTTTTATTATTATCCCTTAGAAACCTGTTCATTCACTAATGAGAGACAGACAGGAGGTGGATCTGGATGGGAGAGGAGTGGGAGGAACTGGTAGTAGAGGGAGGGGAGACCATAATCAGGATACAAAATGAGAAAAATATTTTTAAAAAAAGGAAAAATGATTTAATAGTTCTGTATGCCAGAAGTCTAAGAGAGATCAGCTGGGCTTCACTCCTGAGTCTAGAGGTCCTTGGGAAGATTCTAAGTGCTTGTCTTCTCCAGCTTCCTGAAGCTGCCTACATTCCTTGGCTTGTTGCCTTTTTGAAGAAAGGCAGTTTTAAGAGAAATAATGTTGTGCAGTTACGCTATTTCCAGAATTGATGGCAACAATGATCACAATCATTAAAAATACCAAATCAACCAGAATGGTTCACTGTGTACTTACCACAGGCCAAGCATGAGCTAAAGCAATTGACGCCTATACTAAAATCAGTTCCTTCTAGCTAGCCATTATTTTTCCCATTATACAGATGAGGGAAGGAAAGTCAGAGAAACAAACTTGAGGTTACAGACCAGCTGTCCTCTCCCCATGGCACCAGGGGGATCTTCTACACAGGCTAGAAGGCTGTTCTTCAAGGTTCCCCATAAAGCTTAATCAGGAATTCCCAACCCTCTTCTCTTTACTTTCCTCCCTCCTTCCAAAGTTCACACAAGGGTCCTTGTAGCGTACACCACTGACAACCCTCCTGTAATCAGTGATCCCCATACCTGGGAGCAGAATGAAGGAGGCACTGTATGGTGGGCAGCCTAAGATGAGCAAAATATAATTAAAGATGCCTTTCTCTGTGGTGGTTGGAATGAGAATGACCCACCCCACAGTCTCATGTGTCTGAATGCCTGGTCCCCAGTGGGTGACTGTTTGGGAAGGATTAGGGGGTGTGGCCTTTGTGGAAGAGGTGTATTATTGGGTGTATTATTGGCTTCAAGGTTTCAAAAGACTTCCTAGTGTGTCCTCTCTGCCTCCTGCTTGCAGATCAAGATGTGAACTCTCAGCTGTTCCTGCTGCCTCTGTTCTGCCAGCTTGGACTCTAACCCTCTGGAACTGTTAAGCCCAGGAATACGCTTTCTTCCAGAAGGTGCCTTGGGCATGGTGTTTTGTCACAGCAATAGAAGAGGAATGAATTCTCCAAAGACAGTTCAGTCACAATTAAATGTATCTTTTGATGTGTGGATCACTCTTTCCACTAGAGTTTGGGTTCCTGTGGAGATAGTAGCAAAGACTATTCTATGAGCCTGGGTACTGTTTCTCTTGGATAGAAATGCTCAGCAAGTGGGTTAGCTTCAATCCAATGCTCTTTGCAGTGGTCTGACTCTACCATTCCAAGATGTACTCTTGCTTCATTATCAACATTTGTGACTTCTTGTTGAAGCTTAGTGTGGACTTTGAGGGTGAAGGGTCACCTTTTTGTGGTCTGAGTCCATCAATTCATCCTCTAGAAATTTACTTACATTTTTTTTCCTGTGGCATTTTAGGTGTCTTCAAAAATCTCTACATTGAATGGATAGTTACTGGGAAATGTCTTTTTATTCTCTGAAGGACGGGGTCTCAATTATGACCCAGGCTAGCATGGAACTCACAATGTAGCCCAGGCTGGCCTTGAACTCAGAGCAATCTTGTCTTAGTCTCCCAAGTGCTGAGATAATAGGGATGAGCCATCATGCCCAGTTTTAGAAATGTAAGAAAGTCTTAGGCAAAGGTTTTCATCATGAACAGGGCAGTAACATTGAGGATGCCTCATCATAGAAAACTTTTGTTTTACTAAAAAATATTTTCTTTTTATTTTTAATGATGTCTATGTTTGTTTTGAGGGGTGTATTAGTCAGGGTTCTCCAGAGTAGCAATTTATAAAATGAATCAATCTCTGTCTCTGTCTCTGTCTCTGTCTCTGTCTCTGTCTCTGTCTCTGTGTGTGTGTGTGTGTGTGTGTGTGTGTGTGTGTGTGTGTGTGTGTGTGTAAAGGGGATTTATTAGAATGACTTACAGGCGGCAGTCCAGCTAATCCAACAATGACTGGCTGTGAACAGAAAGTCTAAAAATCCGGTAGTTGCTCAGTCTACAATGCTGGATGTCTTGACTGGTCTTCAGTATATGCTAGAATCCCAAAGAAGTGGGATCCAATGCCAGTGAAGAAATGGATGTGCTAGCAAAGGCAAGGGCAAGCAGGCAAAGAGCAAAAGCTTCCTTCTTCCGTATCCTTGTATAGGCTTCCAGTAGAAGGTATGGCCCAGATTAAAGGTGTGTCTTCCTGCCTCAAGATCCAGATCAAAAGTGTGCATCTTCCTCTCTCAAAGGTCAGATTAGAAGTAGATTCACCCACTTCAAACCATCAAAAATAGAGGAGTGTGTTGGATCTGGAGTTCCAGGTGGTTGTGAATCACCTGGAGTAGGTGCTGGACATCAAGCTTGGGTCTTAACTGCTGAGCCATCTCTTCAGCTATAACTTTTTGCTCTAATATATTAGTGCAATATAGGCTTAAGCATATGTTTGTGTTTATATTTTACTGGAATATGTATAAATTTCTAATGTCTGGGCTATGCATAACCAAAATAAGGTAAGTTTTTATCCCCCACAATATTACCCATTCCTCATCAGATGTGGAGGTCTCTGGCCTCTGGTCCAGTCCCCACTGAAACAAGACTTGCTTTTCACCTCCTAACTCCTGACTTCTGGTTTTGACAAACACACAAGGATCCTCCCCACCACATCAATCAGCAGTATAACTAATTGGATGATTGTGCATTTAATATGAAACACCAATAAACTTAGAAGGAAAGAATGAGGTTACATTCTATGAATGGAAAACTCTTACTTCAAGTATAGAAATAAAAAATAGTCTAACACAGTGCTAGGAGCCATTGTTTTCTGCTCTGACATTGGTCCCCACTTTCTCTGTAGAAGAGGTGATAAGAAAGTCCCAAGAAAGTGGAGAATGTCACAAGTCCAGCACATCTCATTCAAGCCATATCACTCTGATAGTGAGGACTGTTTTTCCCAAGAGTTCTCAGTTCATCTAATAAGAACAGTAGTTGCTGTAATATGGGTACCTATGGTGCAGGTTTTATAGCACAGGCATTCTGCTAACCTCTTTCCACCATATTAAATCATGAAGTCCTCACAACAGCCTGAGCCATAAATGAGGAAACTCAAGTTCAGATTGGTTAAGAAACATGGAAGTTCTAAGCGGCTAAAGAAAAGCCTGGATCCTGGGGCAACCTGAAAGGCTAGAATGGGTCTCTGTTCAGTGGCATTCTCCCAGGCTGTTTACCAACACGTCTATTCCTCACCAGCTTTACGCTTTTACGGGTTGGATTGTTACTCAGCAAAGAGAATCGACATAAGAGTCCTGGTAAGTAATAAAGACCTGGAATGGTAAATATGATTCACTAAATACTAACTCCAGTTAACTGGTTTTTCAGGTCACCTCTTGGAGTAGGCAGAAACCTCTGCTGGCAGACAGTCTTGAGGAATTCTCAGCTGAAAGGCCTCCTATTGGCCAAGCCGGACAGTATTTCCTAAGGTGAACATGAGCATTTCCTGGTGGTTATTTTGTCAAATGTCCCTAGAGACATAAACTTTCAGAATACAGTTTTGAAATGTCAATGGTTTTAAATACAAAGAGCATTTACAAAATGAGAAAATGAGTAACAATCACTACTGGGCATAGGCGCTCATCCAGTGAAACTGGGCTTTACCTGAACACATAGTTATAATTCTGAAATCAGGAAATAGATTAGGTAATGGGATACCTCAGCTTACTTGGATTTTTTATAGAATAGGAAATATAAGGAAGGCCCCTAAGAGTTCTCTAGGCTGCCCTGGCAAAGTACCACAAAATAGGTAACCGAGAACAACAGAGATGTACAGAATTCTGGAACAGAAGTCTGTGGTCAAAATGTCAGCAGGGGTGTGTATCTCAAATGCCTCTAAGGAAACACTTCCTTGCATTTTTCTAGCTGTAGGCACTTGTCAGCATTCCTTGGTGTTCCTTGTCTTGTGGCTACTTAATTGCGATTTTCATCCCCATCCCCATACGATATTCTCCATATCTTTGTCTTCCATGGCTATCTTCTTATAATGACACCAGTCACCTTAGATTAGAGCCTCACCTTCCAGGATGTCCCCAACTTAGCTGACTATATCTATCTACAGGAATGCTATTCACAAATAGAATCATATTTTGAGGTAGGAGATGTTGGGACTTGAACGTGTCAGTTTTCCAATGGAGAATACAATCAAACTTCCAGCAGCGTTTAGATCACATGGTCTGGCTTTGGGAACTTAATGGGGAATAAGAATGATTTGTTGTAGAATTGCTAATTACCACCATCTCAAGTTTGGCCTTGTTGCGTTAGGGAGGGACTTCCAACAGCATGGTAGACTGAGCTGAATGGATTCTTCTCCACACATGCCTTCTGCATAATCTATTAAACCAAGACACAATGCAAACAAGCTTGGAAGAAACAAAGGTCACTTCCAGGCTGTAAGTGAAGGAAGAATTGAAAACCAGAATGGTGAGGCAGTAATAGGCTTTAGCAGATAGATGCCAGACTTGCCACCCTCGAGTAGGGGCAGAAGATGTACCCATAGGTGAGCTGAGAAGCCATAACTGACACATCCACATAAAACCATTGATGATGCACTCTTCATGTAGAGTGAAGTAGAAAAAAAAATCCCCCCATCAGTTCAAGAAACCAGAAGAGAGTGTGTTATTTATGTGAATGCTGGACATCACAACTATGGACAAACACAACTTTCTAGTAGGGTCTGCCAAGTCCAAGCCTTCATCACATAGACATGTCAGGTTCATGTTTTACCAAACCCCATATGAGTACCTGACATGGACAGCTTAAGATAAGAAATTAATGAAAAACCTGGATAGGACCAGTACAAAAAACCGAGGGTCATGTAGAACTACTTTCCAGGTATGCGGCCACTCTCACAGAAACACCACCATCCTGCCACAAATCCATAATTAGTACTCAGAAGCAGAACAAAAACCCTCTCCATGCTACTGACTGGATTCACAGAAGGAATCCCCAAGGCTCTCCCTTTTACCACGTGGCTCTTCAGAAACCATCTCCATACAAGTTATGCCTACAGTCCAGAGTCTCCCTTGTACGGCAAACCCCAAATCGTCTCCACAAAGCAGAAGATGATAGACAATGTCTTGCTGCTGAACATGCATCCTCTGCTGCCCAGAAAAGTCTGAATGTATCCTTCTGGTCTAAAGTAACTCCATCAGCAGCTGAACTGGCCTTTACCTCAGGATGTTTGCCGTGGCTTTCTTTTCTTGAGGAAGAAGGTCTGGGTCTCGTAGAACTTCTTCTAGCAAGTTTAGAACGTTCATTTTAAGTTCATTGTTGAGTTCAAAATCCTATAAAATAAAATGAATCTTTTAAGATCTTCATTTCAAGGGTTAGCTCTGTGTCCTGTGACATCCTTTTTTCCTGATGGTTTTCACAGAAGCCAGGTATGAAACTGAAATGTGTGGTCCCACAGGCCCTCACTGCATGCTCCTAGTGGTCCTGACTTGAGTAGTCTGGGCTGAGGCTGTGCTGTTATACTTCTGATAGGCCTCCCAGGAGATGAGAGCATGTAGCCAAGGTTCAATACTATTGCTCATGAACACCAGTCCGGCCTGGTCTCTAGCAACCATTACAAAGCTCTAGCAACACCCACCCCCAGTCTCTTGTATCTAAACCTCCCTCCCCCATCACATCCTACCTCCAATACATGCTTGGTCACACTGCCTGGGTTTAACAAACTTGTTCAGTTCCCTAGAGGGGACATGTCTTTCCTTGTCCTGGAACACCGTGCTTCTTCCCCAGGTAGATTCTCATTTATCTCTCAGGCCTAGGAGTTGGTAACACTCACTCTCCTCGGAGTCCTTAATTGACACAGTGGGGTTGAGAGCTTTTGTCTTGTGCTCCATGGAGCACATAACTCGCTATTATCATAATTTAGTGTGGCATATTTTAAAGACCAAAGCAGTTGCCTGGTTTCCTGCAGGACCATGAGTAATATCAGAAACAGGGACAGGAGTAACTTAAAAAACATTTGTTGTAAGAATAAAACATGTTATTTGGGTGTTAACTTGAATGAAGATGTGCTAAGGGTATTAATATCAGTATATTTATGCTTGACTCTATATAGATTTGCTAAGGGATAAAGAGTGACTGATACTCAGAAACAGATTTGGCCTTGCCAGAGACAAGAGTGACATTGATGGGACAGATTATGACAGAGTTAGGAAGACTGGAGCATAGAACCGAATAATGAGAATAATGAATAAGAATCAATAGCAAGAACTTATGAGCCATTACTGTTGCAAAAAGGGAGGGAGGGAGGGAGGGATAGATGGATGTGGTGGATGGATGGTTGTGGTGGATGGATGTGGTAGATGGATGGATGGATGTGGTGGATGATGTGGTAAATAGATAGGTGGGTGGATGGGTGAGTGAATGGACAGATGTGGTGGATAGATGGGTGCATGGGTAGATGGGTGAATGGATGGATGGGTAGATGTGGTGGATAGATAAATGAATGGATAGATGGATGTGGTAGGTGGATAAATGGATAGATGGATGGATGTGGTAGATGGATGTGGCGGGTGGATGGATGAATGGATGGATGGATGGATGGATGGATATGGTGGATGATGTGGTAGATTGATGGGTAGGTGGATGGATAGATGTGGTGGACAGATGGGTGCATGGGTGGATGGGTGGTAGGATGGATGGATGGATGGATGGATGGATGGATGGATGGATGGATGTGGTAGATAGATGTATGGGTGGATGGATGGGTGGGTGGATGGATGGACTAGAACCTGGGCAAGGTGGATGGCCTTACTGTGACCACTGACTGGAAGCCTTGTCGACTGCAGGAATACACACTGGATGGAGCACTGTACCAATGATAAACTGTCCTGAACGGACAGCAAAGCAGCTCAGGGTAGAGGTCACTACTGGCAAGGCTAGTGATCTGAGTTTCATCCCTAGGCCCTACACAGTAGGAAGAGAGGCAAGTTGTCCTCTGACTTCCACACATGTGTGCGCACACACAATAAAGTTTTTCCCTAGATTTGATCGTTTTACTGTTGACCTGTTCCTGGGCTGTAAGGGGTGGGAGGAGGTAAGAGAGAACAAATGTAAATACATTGACAAACACGACTCCAGATGTGTATCACTACATAGTTTTTTTTTTTTAACTCTAGTAATTTTTCCATTAATTTGGAAAATTTTAAGGTAAAATATTAGGAGACAGCTGGTCAGCGGTGGTGCATGCCTTTAATCCCAGCACTCAGAAGGCAGAGCCAGGTGGATCTCTGTGAGTTCGAGGCCAGCCTGGTCTACAGAGCGAGATCCAGGACAGGCACCAAAACTACACAGAGAAACCCTCCCTGTCTCGAAAGAGAGAGAGAGGAGAGAGAGAGAGAGAGAGAGAGAGAGAGAGAGAGAGAGAGAGAGAGAGAATAAAGACGTGAAGCTGTGGTTGTGATGCACCATCCCCTGGCAGTGTGCTGGGAATGTTGGTATTCAAAATCAACTAGGGTTTCCAGCTCTACACAGGAGGGCCTCACTCTCATAGACTTCTGGTCTGTGTGTACAGACAGGAGTGGTTGTTACCCACCTGAATCTGTTCCAGTCATTACAGTGCATTCTATTCTAATACTTGTATTATTATATTATTAGCTGTATCATCCATTATTATAATTACAGTTTAACATTAAAGAAAATGATTTAGAGGAATTAACCTTCTGAATCATTCTTAATGGTTGGAGACTAACATCACTAGTGGCAATTAGTTAGATAAAAAGAAAACAGTAAAATTTTTACTATATATAGTAAATTAGGGGCAAACTCTCCATGATTTTACGAATTGTAGACAGTTTAAAAATCTAACCTAATTTGAATTGAGAGTTTGTGCATCTCGGTTCCATGGCAAAAGGAACAGTCAGCTATTCCCAGAACTTCATTTTCACTGTTTGCTAACAGTGTTCTCTCTTTGCAAACAAGAGTCCCCGGGCCTGAGGGCAGTGCAGATGTTCATAAATGTCCTGCCTAGTTTGTGTCAACCTGACAGAAGCTAGAGTCATCTGAGAGGAGGGAACCTCAACAGAAAATGCCTCCATAAAATCAGGCTGTAGGCAAGTATGCAGTGCATTTTTAAAATTAGTGATTCAATAGTCAGTTGTGGATGGGCAGGGACCCTGGATGGCTCCTGGGACCCTATGCCCTTACTGCTGAACTATAGGCTAAGGGTGGGCTGGGGGACAGGAAGAGGCCAGTAAACTAAGGGTGGTGCCATCCCTGGGCTGGTGGTCCCGGGTGCTTTTGAGAAAACAGGCTGAGCAAGCCATGAGGAATAAGTCAGCAATCAGCACTCTCCATGGCCTCTGCATCAATCACCTCCTGCCTCCAGGTTCCTGCTCTGCTTGAGTTCCTGTCCTGACTTCCTTTGATGAGGAACAGTGATGTTGAAGAGTAAGTGAAATCAAATTTTTCCTTGCTCTTGGAATAAAACCAACTTGCTTTGGCCATGGTGTTTCATCACAGCAATGGTAACCCTAAGATGGTCTCTCTTATCAATATTAAATCATGGTTCCATAAAATGTCCCCTACTTCTTCTCCAACAGCATCTCATCATGCGTTTTCCTTCTAAACTGCGGGCAGGGATAAGCTAGTTATATCTTGCTGCTGCTGCTGCTTCTTCAATCCACCTGACCTCCGTCTCCAGGTATTTGTATTTTTAAACAGTTAACGACCTTGTCTACTTCAGTGTCTACGAGCTACCACAGGAGCTTGCACCCATCAGGAGTCTCTTTCCTTAATGAATATTTGATATATATTAGTGAGTCTTCGTGTAGCTATGTGGAGACGCTAATGGTGCAAATAATCTGATTACCATAAACAGCACGATTGGTGTGAAGGACACCAGCCTCCTGTTTAGGCCTTGCTGAGAGCCAATTAGTGCTCAGCTAGCGTCCTTGAGCAGCTGCTGGGCTCCATCCTGGGCTCAACCGGGGTTGTTCTGCGGCTCCAGAACGGCCAGTGTGGAAGGTCTCCTAGACTCATGTTGCACAAGATGCTGAAAAGAAGTGATGGTGAAGGAGCAGTTCTAAATAAGTCATTTATGCAGCTCCTGGCAGCCTGTGGAAGAGGGGATGGGAGGAATGTAGAGGCTGGAGGACAGGGAGAAGGCAGTGAAGTCCCATCCTCTAGACACAGCGCAGCCTGTTTAATCACGAACTTACAGCAGAGGCAAGTATCTGCCCTGGTCCTTCACAAGACAGGCTATTTCAACAGTCAGTCGTGGATGGGCAGGGCCCCTGGATGGCTTCTGGGACCCTATGCCCTTACTGCTGAGCGATAGGCTAAGGGTGGGCCGGGGGACAGGAGGAGGGACTGCTTTCTTTAGTGATGTACCCTCTGTGAGCCCACCAGACGCCAACGGGTAGTTCCAATACCTAGGTCACAGAGAAGGCCCTAGTCAAGCCCAGAGGTACACACACACAAAGGAACATGAAAATGGGAAAGAGATTGGGAGGGAACGGGACGTGGATAAGCAAGGGAGGGTGATGAGAGCATGGGGGGGAGAGCAGTCCAAACACATTACATACGTGCATGAAACTGTCAAAGAACAAACTGAATTAATAAACAGGCTCCTCACACATGGCTTGTACAAGGAAAACTAATTTTAAAATTTTAATAATTAGTGCAAAGATCATTCTATAAACATTTATTATTGAGCTACTGGAAAGCAGTAAAATAAACATTTTTTAATAAAATGTCTTAAAATGTAATTTTACTCTTCTGAACTTTGGGGAAACGGCCCAAGCAGCCCTTTAAAAGGTGGGGTGAACAATCTCCTGATGACTGAATAAAGCATGATGCAGGGCTGTGTTTGAATATTTATTCTGATGCACCGTGGTTGATATAAAGAGATTCTCTGACACCTCTTGAGTTTCCCTCTTGAGTCTGCTTATATTTGCACAGGCTTCTCACGATGAAGCACCCTATAAATTCAGTCCTTCCTCTCCAGCTGGGCTACGGAGGAAACAGGAGACAGGGGCCAAGTTCTCAACATCCCTCCTAACACATGGGCCACCGAGGCTAAGAAAGTGTGATCACATGATCACAGGATCTCCATCCAACCCCTGTCACCTGTCCTGCTCAAACTCTGATGCAGGCAGGAGTCACCAGGGCTGTGGCCAACCCCGAAGGTCTGGTTCAGCCATTTGGAGAGGCCCTGGGATTCTGGGGGTGTTGTTTTATGTGTATGAGTGTTTTGCCTGCATGTGTGTATGGGCACCATGCTTACGTCTAGTACTCACTGGATCCCCTGGAACTGGAGTCACACACGGTTGTGAGC